ACATGATAGTATGTAAACTAGTGGTTGTTATATATTATGTTTCTAATAAATGGACTCTGTCTTGAGAAATGAAAATGGGACCTACAGATATTCAGAAAATTGCAGGATAAAGCTGTGTCTTATGTACAGACAAGTGCTTATTTAAATGGACTGGGTGATTTCAGTCCTGATGGATATTTTACAGTGTGACAAGTTTTGCAATCTTTGCAAACTCAATTAAGTAAACAATCTATGATATAATTCTAACAAAAAGATAAGCTCAATCTCTATAAATGTAATTTATCTCTGTATCATATATGTCATCTCACTCCCTTTATTCCAAAGCTCTGCAAGTTCTGAAATCTCACCTCAACTGTACTACCTCATGATAAACAAAGTGACTGAACATACAGAATTATTTAGCTCCAGTGTAATTGAAGTCCCTCTATGTGAATTTTAGGCCTGAGGTTACACACTGAAAGTTTAAACAACACAAAGTTTAAATGATTTTGGAAGAATAGCTTTTCTGCATCAGAGTAACATGTAAAAAAATATACAACCTATACAACCCTATACAACTACAACTCCGATCATCATGAAATAGGTTTTTTTCATTACACTTAAAATGGAGTATATGTAAGGAAGAATATCAAGGAATGCTTTGCAAATCAACACACCTCAAAACAATTTAGAAAGTTTTAAATAATTTTCCTCTAAACATAATGAACACTTCCATATAAAATACTACTCTAGCTGGATTGGGTGTAACAGTTGACATCTAAATCTTATTATCTGTTAAATGTTAATCCATATAAATTCCACTAAAATCTGACTGCAGATTTTAATCTTCAATCAGACATAAAAACTACAAACAACCCCCCTCTCTCTAAAACAAAGTTCTGCATGTCAAAAATGGACGGTTATAGGCAATATCACATAGCCCATTTAGTAGGAGACAGAGTGTATCGTTGTTCAACCATTCCAGATGTGGTCTGTGTAAAAGTCAGTTCAGGGGAGCCATCACCTTCATTTGTGTGCAGCATCTTTGTGCACAATTATCACAGTTTGCCAAGTCACTCTCTTGACTGATAGAATAAAATATAGCCAGACTCCGAATTTTTTGATATATCAGAGGTCAGACCATAGAATTCTTCAATAGCTTGAGCATCTATTTTCTGCAAAATAAAGAACTTTTTTTTATATGCTGTTAGATAAAAGAAATACCAAACACAGATTAAATGAGTGCATGAACAGAAAACACAAATTCAGTTATTTGTTTTTGGGTAGCAATTCGTAAATTCTGTTTGCAATTTAAGCAGTAAAAGGGTAACGTTTAGAGTCTGAGCCCTGCTGATATCACTTATGGAAGTCCATAGGCTTGTTTATTTCACTGCACCTAACTCAATTAGTCTTTTACCAATAGCAGAAACTCCTTGGAATGCAGTAGTGAACACTGTTAAAAACACATAAACATGACCATGTGATCCCATCTTTCTGAAATATCCAGAAAACCTCCTCAAGATATTCCCCATCCAGTATCCCAGTGCTTACTTTCCTTACCCCCTGGGAAATCAGACTAAAGATCTTGGTTTTGCCAAGGTGACACAATGACATGAAGGGTTTGAATAAGACTGCATTGCAGAATGCTTAACTAAATCTGTAAAGCTATGGGACAGATACAGCTCTTACTTTACTTTTAGGCAATCCTAGATCAACTACAGAATTCAGACTTTCTTATAAACTCCCTATTGTTCAAAATTTAAAATTCTACAGCAATGTTAGCTTTACCTAGTCCAGTTTTGCCAAGTGATAGGTTTTAATGAATTAAATTGATTTTATTAGATACAGAAAACATTCCAAACTAAACCCTTGAAATCTGATATTAGAAGCATTTGATGTTGCTCTGAAAAAAAATTATACCCCCTGATATTGACAGAGCACAAACTACAGGATTAATAATTCTTTTTACAATCTTGTTTCCCAGCAGAGTTGAGCTAAGTATCACATTATAACCAAACTGTGGGTTTGCAGACTAGTAATCTCTACCCAGATGTGGATCAGAATTTTAACCCCAAATAGAGAAGAAAACATAAGTACACAAGTTGCGCTCATGACCTTCAGCATACTGACCTCCACAATGTCATCATCAAACAAGAGCCAAAATCCATGACTTTTCACAATAGTAATATAATGTCCCCGATTCGGTCCACTAGAAAGCAAAACAAAACCCCAAACCAGAAAATATTAGAAAATACCGTTGAATCCATTTTGATAAGTCACATTTCTTTATGCAAGCAGAATGTTGTGAAAAACATAGTAAACCCACCCCTAGTGGTACAGTAGACATTTCATCTCTTCAGCTTTTTATTGTCTTGTTGCAATTTCGTCAACAGAAAGCTAAAGATGTTGTTTTCATCTGTGCCAGGACCATTTGCAAAATAACCTATAGAACACTTAACAGGTTGCTCATGGCAAGCATCCACCATTGCAAATATTTTAAAAACATTATGAACTAAATATAAGTGGGACAATTGTTTGGTGTCAGTCATGAATATTTAGTTACATATAATCTTTGAGAAGAGAAAGAACAAGTCATATTTCTAGAGCCCCAAGGATTTTTCTGTTTGTTTCATATTTGACAATACCCCATATGTGAGAGGCTTTATTAAAGCTATTATTTTCATTGCCTTGACAGGAGATCAAGGTGTTCTATTGTGGGGCCTTACATACTAGCAGATTCTGGCCCTCACAGAGTCCTGGCTCACAAGCTGTCTGAGTGCATGAGGAAGGAGGTAGTTCATTAATTTAAGCCAAACTTGTGACGTGTGGAGACCTGAGATACTATTTCTTAAACAAGTACAGATTTACTATGAGGGAGGGTGGCTAGAAGTTTCAGCCTGAGACATATGCAAGTCAGCATAGCTGCTGGGTTTAAGGCCTCCCTTTCACTCCCCCCACATTTTGTCAGGCATGCCTATGCCCTTGGCAAATGTCTGGCAATAGTTTGTGATAAACATGAAAGTCTATTACCTTCCACAGTGAACAACAACAGCTACCAAGTCGTACATCCGATCTAGGTTGACGGCGTCGCCAGATGTGTTGAAGAGACGTAACTCCAGAGGAAACACTACACGATAAGACAGCTTAGTATACCTGTGCAACTGTTCCATATACTTGAATCTCTTGAGGTGTAAGGCAAGAATCATTGGCAGTTTTTTTACTCTCATCCTGTGAAAACATTGAAGTGCATATGGTAAACACCTGACCAGTTCAAAGCCGTTCTCTCTTTCCTTAATAAGCAAATGCATTATAAAAGCATTTTGTAAGTAATAATAGTCAACCAGCAGAAGCTTCTAGACTAAGACACATGCCTTTAAGTCTGTCTGCAGGTTCTCTGGCCAACACAGAGAATGCAGCTGGGATGTAAGGCTTCTAGCTATCTAAATAAAATAAATACCAAGGAGAAGGTTTGTCAGAACCCAGGAGGGGTATGGTGAAACAGCCAGCTTTTTGCTTACCTCTTCTGTGCCTCTTGTTTACTGCAGCAAGTTTCACAGTAGTACTTCTGTTCACTACATAATGTCTCTGTGTTACTGAAGTCTCTGTAAATAAACACAACCATCAGTTCTTAAAGGATCTGAATACATTTGCCTCATTTGGGCTGATGAGCTGGAATGTGGCACTTGAGGATATGGTTTGGGGGCTAGTGTTAGATCAACCAGTTGGACTGGATGATCTTGCTGGTCTCTTCTAACCTTGATGATTCTGTGAGCTAACACTGTAAATGGTAAGTTGCCTGCTCTGGCAATTATGTTTGTGAAAGCTGGAAAAATATGCAAATACTTGATAAGCCAAGGGACATTACCCAATATGTACCACATTAATTTTGCTCTTTTTTTCCTTGTCTTCTAATTTCATCTGTTGCCCTATTCTACCAAAGCAGCTGAGGCACAATCATGGCACTAATAACTCACTTATTCAGCACATATTAAATCATTTTTTAATGCTAGGAACAGAACTGGTGGCATACTTATAAGCAGTAACTCTTTCCTTGGAGGAAGGGAGGTATGCAGGTGAGAATTAGATGCTTTTACTGCTCTCTGCAACTGCAACTTCAGTAGGTCTTTCATCAGTTGTGAATTTTCAGCATGGCACTTCTAATAGATGCTGAATAGTTAAAAACAACAGCACATTGACTGGAGTTCATGCAAAGTACAGGTGCAAGAGCCACAGGCTTGCCAAACTCTTCTCTAGACCTGCACAGTTTCAAGGTATGTCTCTCTCCTGTTCTGTTAACAGTCCAATCTGCATTCTGTTTATATATTATTTTAACAAGAGAAGGAAATTTTTAAATACACTTGCTCAAGATATACTAACTTATTCATTGACCATGGGGCTAGGGTTAGGATTGACCCCATGCTTCCACAGTACATGGAAGCCTCTTTGCAGCCTTCCTCTACAGCCTCTATGCTACAGTGTGATATATGCTTTCTAATGTTTATATGCATAAATAATATGAATTTTCTGTTTAAAGAGATGAGAGAATTCTTGGTGTAATATAAATGCACAGTTAAAAGTCAGGATCAAATTGACTGGTAAACTTTGCAACTCCTAGTAGAAATAAAAATAATGGATATGTGCTATATTTGTAATTGGACGTCTGTTGCTTTAGGTCCAATTGTCTATCCTGTGGATTTAGACTACACCAGAGGCTTGTATTCTTCAGACATCTTGAGCACACTAAGACCTTTCATATTTTGAAAAACTACAGAGATAAAAGAACATTCTGTAGTGGCAAAGAAATTCATTCTACTTAAATGTTACCTTGAACAGTTTTTCTATATTTTATCTTTTCAGTGCAGTAGCACTTCAAGCTGTTGTTAACACAGTAAAGCAGTTGTTAAAAAAAAAAAAAAACAGGAAGCAGCAAAGTTTCCAAAAAGTGTAATAACTTGGATGTTCCTACTGAAAGAAACCACAAAAGCACTTATATTTTGCTTAATAATGCATAGTATGAGACAGCAATGAGAGGAAAATCCATATTGTAACTGCACGTTTTTAAAGGAGAAGTAGGAATGCTGCTAATGTAATAGCAGCATAGATCATAGGTGATGACTCTCCTTCTGTTCAGTCTGTAAATAGAAGCTCGTATCTCCTGCCAGAAGAAAACAAGAAACAAGATTTTGCTTTCCCTTATTTCCAAAAAGAACAATGCATAAACTTCAAAATGCATGTCATGCTGTTGGAATAAAGGCAGATACTACACTTGGATGCATAAATAAACTTTTAGGGCATCCATTCTTCTCAGGATTGCACAGATCTCTGCTGGAATATTATGCCTAGTTTTACGCAGCTGCACTTTGAGAAAGATGTAGTTCAAGAGAGAGGTTCAATTGGAAAGAATGCCAAAGAGTAATGAACATGACCAGAGATGTAGAGAAGATAACCTGAGACGGAAAAGTTAAATGACCTTAGTTTAAATTGAAAAGAAAGTACTTGCATTCTTCCTGCATGTAAAAGGCTACTGCTAAGGGGAAGGGGACTCCTGGTTTATTTCCAGAGTACAGAGGATAAGTGAAAATAAGCCTGAACTAAAACAAGGAAGATTCTTTTCACACAGCAGAAAAAACTTCTTAGTAGCAAAGTCAGGAAGGACTAGGGTAGGCAATCAAGTTACTACTACTAACAAGAGTAAGAACAGGTCTGATGTGGAGATAGGAGCTAACCTCTTGGGGTCACTTTCAACTCCACCCTTCACCTGTGTGTTGTGATAAAGCAGATGCAGTTCTTCTGCATCTTAAGCTACAACCACTGTCTGTTCAGTAGTAGAAATGCTGTTGGTACTTTTCTGAAGTCCTCTGCCTTTGCACAAATTGGTCTTTCCAAACAAAACATTTCCAAGAAGCTTAACAGCCATGAAATAAAATAAAAAAAATGGAGAAAGCTGAAGGACAGATGGTAACTTATGTACAGCAGCAGTTTCTAATAAGTTCACCAGACTCAACTGTAAGAAAAACTCAGAGCTCAGTCTTCAGTAACTGTATAATACAGAACCAAATAACTCAGGTTAGAAAGGACTTCAGATGATGCACACTTCAGCCTCCTTGCATCAGTTTAATTTCAAATTGACTTGAAACACCATAGGGAAAGGTAAGTAATGCTGACAAATTCAAAGTAGTGACTACAGTGAGGAACCAAAGTGTTCAACCAAAAGCCTCTAGTACAATACTAATTCAACTTTTGGTGACTTTGAACAGACAAAGAGACTACAGGAGAATAGAAAGAGAAAATAACGCACTGCTTTCCAAAGCCACTCACTTTCTCTCACTTTTTACAATGTGGCTAGTTAGTGCACTTTGGCCTACTTGAGGGCTATGATCTGCTACAGTATCCTACAAGAGACAGAACAAGAGACCAAACAGAAACTGAGAAGGTAAAGACTTACAGGACTTTGCACTTTAAAATGTAACAGATGTTACTTAGTACAGTTGCGATATCCACAGAGAAATCACTGCTCTCTGACTCAGGAAATGGTTAGTATCTCACATGATTTCTCTTTCTGTAACTCTCAGCTTGGGATGAAATGCCTGGCAATTCTTCCTAGGCGTTCCAGAATAACTGATAAATGGAATTTCAACCTTGGTAGCTATTTTGGAGTTTTAAAGAGTTTGATCAATTGATAATCATTACCTTAGAGTAGCAACATATTGTCTTAAATATAGGTGATGGTTTATTCTATCAGTGTCAAAATTCTGGATATTTTAAATCTCTCAGAATAGTCAACCGTGCATGTCTGAAAATTATTTTGATTCTAAAGTACTTTTTAGCAGTTAAGAGTGTACTAGGAGCAGAACTGAAAGTTTAGAATAAAATATTTCTCCACATAATTTTAAAATAAGACAAAGAATAAGAAATTTTTAATAGAAAATTAGAGTTTTGAAATCTTTTGCCCTCTAGGTACCCTAGCGCTCATTCTGCAAAGCACACACTTAACTTTTAACATACACACAAATTCTAATCAACAAAACACTTGAGTAGAAGCTTAAAAACAAGCACACTTAAAACTCTTTCTAGACAATTATTTTTCTGTGGCAATTCTTCTAGATGACAAGGCAATCAACTATTTTTCCCAAGAGATGATTTTTTTTTTCTATTTCAAACACACATTGAAAGTGAAAGTGAGTAAAACAAAGCACATTAATGTATATTTTGTCATTAGAGGAAACATCCAGTTAAATGTATTTTTCTTCTGCTTAAGAAAAGTTCCAACCCAAATGTTACTCTAATTTTCTCTACCAATTATACCTGGAAATTTTAGCAGCTAGACAGAATTATCTGCCAAAAAGGTCCATTCATTTACCTTAGACAGTGTGTAATCGATGTGTTCTGCTCCACATCAACAGAAAGGTCAAGAAAATCTTCATCTTTGCTACTAACCTGTTGCAAAAAATATACATGTAAAATAGAGATGCCATATATCTAAATGCTGTTTATATCTTTAGAAAATGCTAAAGGACAGAGCAATTTCTAAAAAAATAAACTACACTAAAATTATTCATTTCAATGCTTTTATTTTTTTTCTAGTTCATTATGACTATATTTATTAGTAATTCTACCAGTCCTGCTTTCATATAATTTACCTTCTGTCTGTTCCACTTATCCAGTCCCATCGACCACGGACCAGTGATGACAGCCTATTGTTCACTAAATGATGCTGGCCCATCATCCCCTGTATTAGCTGTGATTGGTGCATTACATTATGTTTGCTAGTTACGTAATGCACTCTACTTTCTCATTTTACTGGAATTTTGTTTACCCTTTGTATATTATATTACACTACATAATCACAGTTTATTCCTATATTTTCCCAATATGCATCTGTCAAGAAATGCCGTATGTATCTGTGTCATTTTTTTCTCTCTGATGAGCATTCAGAAGGCTGGGTTTATATTTCTGGTTGACACAGCTGCATTTCCCCACTGAAAACTGTTTCTGGACAATACTTTTGATTAAAAATTATTAAAGATCAAATGTAAAAATGATGAAGTGATAATATTTTGCAAAATCATTTTGATATTACTAATCTCTTTTTTTAAGACAGAACAAGAGAAGAAAAAGTAAAATGAGGTTTTATTTTAAAAAAATAAGCCCAGGTATTTTCAGAATGACAGATCTTGATTTTTGCCTTGAAATTATTTTTTACTAAGAGTGTTTAATCTTGAAGGTGAAGTAACTTTAACAAAAACCATCACGCAAATGGATAATCCTTGTAATACTTAACTGAGTCAAAAGGCTGCAGAGTTACTGCACATGAATTCAGTCATATTCACAACAATCAACTTTGTTTATAAAATGTTGCATGAACACTTCATATTTTGCCTCCTATGGCTGCATTTCCTTCGGATAACTAAGTCAGATGGTGCCATAATGAAGTTCAAATCAAGAACTTCCATGAGGGGTTGAATTCATCATTCTGGCAGAAGTCCTTCATGCTCAGATTTTTGCAATTCCATCAATGTCAAAGTTTTTGCAATGCTATGGATCTGCTACTTTCAGCTCATGTTTGTGTTATATTAGAGATCTTACAGGCTTGGTGAATACAGCCCATATCAGACCTGAATCCAGAGGAACATCTTTAGCATGATGAATTTGTTATTATCGAAGATAATAATGTAATTATTATAATAATAAATAAAAAAATTTATAATAATAAAAAGGCATACTGTACATCCAATTGAAATGAACAGCTAATCCTTGCTGAGACATGAGTTGACCCACAGGGAACAGGAAGCCACAAAATTGGCAGTAGTCAACTGCAGTGTAAATATACAGCTAAAATTTGAAAGATAAAGCAACAAAGCTTCAGAGAACATTGTGTCCCTGCAGCTGGAATGAGAGTTCTGTCAGACACACAGCTGGAATGAGAGTTCTGTCAGATACACTGTGTATCACGAAAGAGGTTAAATACTTGAAAAAGTCTTTGGCAAGTATAGTGTTTCATCTCAATACATCAAAGAAGCTAGGAATTTTGTTATTGATTTCAACATATCAAATATTTACTGAAAGGAAAGATGAGTGACTTAGAGCTAGAATAATACAGACTACAACTAAAGGTAGCTGGAAAACTAGGTTCAAGCCACACTGTGACAATAAGAACTGCTGGAATCTGAAGGATTCTTCATGCACTACTTATGAATATTTTAGCAAAGGGACATCTTTTAATCTGTCTTACTATCTCCAAAATATTTCAATAATCCAAGAAAAACAAACTGGAAAAGTATCCTAAGTAGTATACAGTATTTCTGCATTCAGAGGAAGCAACAGACAAGCTTTCCTGCAGCAGCAATACCTAGCATTATATTTTCCATAAACCTTGGTCACTTTTAATTACAAGTAGGGAATTGTGCAGTTTTGCTGTTACCTAAGGACACAACCCCACTTTACTACAGTTTGTCTGAGTAAACATTAGATATTGATTTAGAATTAGGCCACCACCATATAAAGAAGCTTGTCAGTTAAAAAAGAATTCTACCCTTTCATTTACTTTAGCTTGCTTTAATTATCTGGATTTTTAAAATTGAAATAGATTAAATAATTAATTTTTGATATATCTCTCATGTTTTCACTTATGGAAGCTTGTTCCAAACTTGTTTCAACACCTTTTTTCACATTGACTATCATTGTATCTCTTCTCCCCACTCCCCTCCTCTGACTCAAGTCCCTGAAAAAGTCAATTTTTTTTTTTTGAATACAGAGCTACTCTTTACGATTAGAAATATCAGGATGTGTTCTTTTACACATCTGGTAGGACCTGGGTAGAATTTATCTCACCTAATTTCAGCTGTCTAAAGATACTTAAACTCACCTGAAGATATCTTCTCTGGGCACCTTCTCCCATCTTACCATAACTAATCTAAAGTTATTTTCTCTTTAGAGGAAGCCTATAGATGCAGAACTGATCTGAACAAAACCACAGTATTCTTCGGCCAGAACAGTTTGCTGGCCCAGTTCACAGCACTGCTGTACCAACACTTGGTACAAACAACAGCTTGGTAACGCCATGGAGCCGGGATGAACTGTATGCAGCAAAATACCTGATGCTGCTAAAAACTTTCTGTTTCATGAATCAACCTAGAGACAGATGGAGAGAAACTCCTTTATAATCTCCATTATCTACAGGTGTTGAGTCAAGTTCATCCTTGACTCCTATCAACTTTGCTTTACTAGGCATAGGCTAGGTGAGGTTAATTCTAATCTTTTTGGAAGATCAGTGTCGCTGTTCTCTCCAAACCAGATTTTTTTCCTGTCTGTGTTAGCCTTTCATATAGCAACACCACAGGGACAATTTAAAAAAAATATTTCTTTTCTCTTTCTGTAGGAGCATGTGGCTGAAAACCACAGAAATCAACAGCAGATCTGCAATCAGGTCCCCTAACTAAAACTAATTTTTAGTTATACTTTGAACATAAGAGATTCCAAACTGACATCAACTTCTAGAAAATATTAGAGAGATAAAAGAAAACATACAAGTTTGTTAATAATGAACTTTCTGTATACTAGTCACATTTTAAGACTGAATTCACACAAATTCATCTTCACATTTCCCTTATTCATTGAATATGATGTGAATACCTTCCCTCAAAGTTACAGTAATGAGGAAGGGTATTGATTCACACTAGCAAGAATTTTAACTGTAGAGATATGTATTATGATAGCAAAACCTGACATATGTTAGCCAAGTAATGCTTAGAAAAATAAATTTTTAGAAAAGAATATACTCACTTCAAGAAGTAAATTCTACAGGAATATCCACAATTCTCAGATGTCTGAAAAGATTCATATATTTATATGTATATAAAATGTATCTATCTATTAATGGGCAACAACAACAACAACAACAATCTAACCCAATGCTTACGGTTTCACAGTTCAAACATCTAGTTTCGTTAGTCAGTGTTCCCTGAAAAATCTCATGCACCCAGGTGAGTTCTTGTTTATTGTTTTCTTCAGCTTCATTCATGTTGCCATTTTTCAGTTTCCCATTTTGCTTTTCCTGCTTCTTCTCCTCCTGCAAAATGTCTGCAATGGTGTTGAGCAGGTAATTTAAGAATTCATGTGCATCCTGCTGCATGTAGTTGTCAAAGAGATCTGTGAAGAAAGAGTCAAGATTTGCACAGCATTATATATCCTTTTCTTCATGAATTTTTTTTTTTTTCCAAATTCATGTACTGGTCCTTGTTCAGTAAAGTATAGAATCATGCCAAAGAGGAGAAGTTTTGCAGCTAATCATCCTGGCTTCAGTGAAGGTACTTTGGGGGAAAGCTTCAGCTCACCTAACTTTAACTGTCTAGAAGGTTACACTTGTTGGAGCTGGTTGTGTAGGCTCCCATTACAGTCAATGAAGAAAGCAAGAGGGTGACTCATCCTAAATTAATTCCTTACACTAGATGCCTAACTTTAGGCAGCACTGACTCCCATCCATATATTCCAAGTCCCTCAGACACTCAGGGACATCACAGAGTTTTGACAGTAAGACACCTAGCTGGGAAAACGAAAGACATTAGATGACGACACATGCTGGTGTACTGTGTCTGGCCAGGATGGAGTTACCTTTCCCATATCTCAGCCCATGGGGTGCTGTGCTTCCTACATGCGGCTAAAAAGGTCTTGATAATGGACCAGTGGTTTACCTGATGCTAAGCATCAAGGCTGTCTCTCCAACTCTCCTCCTCCCCAAAGGCTGGTAGGCTGGGTGTAGGAAAGAGTCTGGGAAGGGGACATAGCTGAGGCAGGTGATCCAAACTGGCCAAAGTGATATTCTATGCCATGAGAGCAACAAAATATAAGAGAAATATGGGAAAGAGGTGGGGGCAGGGGTGGGCATTCATTATTTAGTAATATGTCTTCCAAAGAAACTCCTATGCATGCTTAGGCCCGGCTTCCCAGGGAGGGGCTGGGAATCATTTGCTGACAGGAGGTAGAGAATAAATCTCCTTTGGTTTTACTTTCCTTCCACATGCAATTTAGCTCAATTTACAGGGTTCTTTTTATTTTATTTTCTCCCCCTTCCCTGCTTAGATGGTGAGTGAGACAGGCTTGATGGGCACCTGGCAGTCAGTCAAGGTTAACACATCTCAAGTAGTAATAATAACACCATCTAATAAAGCTAATTTTTTACACACAAGTCTGATGAGTAGAGACTTGTCCTCTTTAATAAGTGCCCAAAGGAGGAGAAGGAAATATCCCAGTGGAGATTTCTCCAGTGAAGGCTTAACTTGGACACCATGTCGAAAAAAAAAAAAAAGAATCTGTGTTCACAGAAATGTGTATTTTTATCCCCCTGCTCCTGAAAAAACTCACATGGATTTCCTCAGAAAATATTGTACAGGACCTTCAGCTTTGTAATGTCTAGCCTAGACACATAAACAGATTAATACACACTGAATCCGACTCTAATTTAAAAAAGCTGAAAACATAAGATCCAGTCTTTAAAAGTGATCCCCAACAGTGTGAGGGCATTTATCACTAGATGACTGAGAGTTAACTTTGTCACAATATCAAAAGTCTGCTCTGAAATGAACAGTCTGCCCATTTATATGCTGTCACCAGGAAGCAATTTCTTCCAGGTGTTTGACTCGTACTTAGTCTCTTCATTCAAAGCTCCTCTGTTTCCAAGCATACCACCCACACTGATATGAATCTAGGCCAAAATGCAGTGGTGTGGCAAGCTTCTCTATCTCAAGATGTTCCTCATGTCCCGTAGAAAGAACTACTACAAGATTAGGCATATGCTGTTGCCAGCCTGATGCTCAAAAGGTGTCTGATGCTTCACAGAGACTGTGTCCACCACTCCTGAGAACAAGAGCAGCAGCTAATGTGCAGTTGACGGAACACCCACACACACATCCAGTTATTTATCCTCCAGAGAGTTGTGGAGTAGTGGTGCTTGTAGCACTCCTAGGTCACACAGTTTCTATACTGCCCACTGCCCTCAACATTTCTATCTGCCACTAAAAGAGGAATTTAAAGATTACAGCAGAGTGTCACCCTGTTCCCAATCACAGCTCACTGTACAGTACAGTCTGTCCCACCATGCTGTGAAAACATTAATTCATACACCTCTGGGAACATATGAAACTTAGTATGGTTATTTCAAGCATAATATCATGTACACAGATACTAAAATATTAATATCAAAACCCCACAAGCAATTTACAAATCTAACCTCTACATCTGATTGTTATGATCCCATTGTCCAATATTTATTTATACTTTTCTGATCAATGCCTGAATGCCTTAGAGGATTCCAGTTTTTACACTTACCGTTCTCTTTTCGTAACCTTGATATGAACTTCTTTGGTGGAATAACTCCAACTTTTTTCTTCTGAGTAGCAATACTGTGGAAAAGATCGGCCAGGCAAGTCAAGAGATTTTCCTTCTTTTTCTGTTGGGCCTTGTATGATAACACATTTTCCCGAAATGGCCGGCAAAAATACAATGCCTGCAGCACAGAGTTACAGTAGCAGGTGTTCCCAAACTGCCAAATAAAAATAAAAACAAACTTAATTCCTCTGTGTCACAATAAAATTAATTGCTTCTTTCAACTTCTGTGTCACAAACCAGTCATTTTTCCATGCAGCTGCTGCAGAAATATATTTCCACACCCATCCCTAACACTTCACAGAAAAAACTATGGTGTTCTAAATTAACTAGGATACAAAGTAAAGGTTTCCACTTGCAAGAGATATATTTATTGTAATGGATTTCATTAAGTTTGTTTCAATGCATTAATATACTCTTCCTAGGCTCTATCTTACTTCTCAGTAGTAGCATGACTAATGTTTTCAATGGAAAGAATTACTATATCTGTATTATTTATATGGGAATAAACAAGTGATTAAACACCCTTCTCACTTGTTCTCTCCTTAGTCACATAAAAAAGCTCCTCCTAAGAGTCTCCAATGCAGAATGCTGTACCTAAGCTTATACATACTTCCATCACTTCCTCCCTGCCATTTCACAGCTAAAATAAACTTTTAACTTTATTAAAGCATAAGTTCTAATCCCTGGAAACATTCATAGAACAGTAAACTGTTCTCTCTGAGGGTGTATGAATCTGTCTTCAAACATCTGATACAGTTCTGCAACCTACTTATTCTAAAATTGGAACCTGAGGAACTTTTTTTTTTTTTTAAATAAAAGACAATCCCACCTTAGAATAAGATTTATAAGAGTCAGGGAGAGAGAAAACCAAACCAAATCAAACCAAGAAACAAAGCAAAGTTCAGGTAACATCAGAGCCATAGTTCTGTATATGGTTTACCTACTGAAAATGGTACTTACATTAACCAATCCGAAGTAGTGTTCATTGATTGGAAACTGCTCTGGGCCAATGTCTTTTTCCAGAGCAGAGGCATTGGTGCCCTATACAAATAATAAAAAACAATTAAAAATAATTTTTAAAAAAATTATTTAGAATAGTAAAATTATAAAATATAATTATGGACAGTATCAAGACAGAAAATAATTTTTTCTTTCAGCTACGATTAAGCTAACTCTGTCTTACCAATAGGCAAACACAACAGTCTCATGAGGCAATAAAAATATTTGCAAATCTAGGTAGCAGAGCTGGCCCAGTATGGACCCTCTAGTAATGGCTTATTAGAAGTGAATAGGTCACAATAACAGTTGTTCTTCACATACTCAACTCCCTCCTAATTTTACTGTGTACATGGACATCTGAATCCCATTACTCACTTGCCTCATAAAGATACCTGATCTTAAGCACAAGCCTGAAAGTTATCTTGGCTAACCAGTTCCTAGATGTAAGGCAGGTTTTCTAAGCATTACTGAAACTCCTCTGAATCTCTTTAATTCATCATCAGCCTGTAACAATACTTGGGCTTCATGCTGGTACACAGTTACAGTAACAACATCACAAATGTTAAAAGCAAGTAATATACCTGTCATTTTGTCCTATCTAACATCAAAGGGCACAAAACCCAAGCAGTGTTACATCTCTTGGTCACTGCCTCAGTGTGGCTAGTTGTGTTCAGCTGTATCTTTAGTAGCAAAGTTGTTTGGGTAACTACTGATCTGTGAAGTACAACCATTAATTTTGTATGTTACCTGTAGTTTTGCTATATTAAAACACACATTTTTAAACAAGTTTAAAGTACTAAGCAAGCAAACTAGATTGCTGCCAAACGTGTCATTACTCCTATCTACTCTGTAAGCCTGGCTCCATCCTCTTGAGATCCTCCCTTCAGATACTTATAGATATATATATATAATATATAGATATTATATATAGATACTATATATGAGTTCCCCTCTCAGTGGTCTCCAGAATAGGTCTCCCTCAGCCTCATAAGAGAGATGATGCTCTCCTCTTATCATCTTTGTTGCCCTCCTGGATGTGCTCCAGGAGCTCCATGCCTCTCTTGTCCTGAGGAGCTCAGAACCGGACACAACACTCCAGATGTGGCCTCACTAGGGCTGAGTAGAAGGGTAGGACCTCTCTTGACCTGCTGTTAATGCTCTTCCTAATGCACCCCAGGATACCATTGGCCACCTTGGCCACCAGGGCCACTGCTGGCTCATGTACAGCTTGTTGTCCACCAGGACCCCCAGGTCCTTCTCCACAGAGCTGCTTTCCAGCAGATCAGCCCCCAGCCTGTACTGGTGCCTGGGGTTATCCTTCCCCAGGTGCAGGACCCTGCATTTGCCTTTGCTGAATTTCAGTTCTCTACCCATTTCTCCTACCTGTCAAGGTCCTTCTGAAGGGCTGCACAGCCCTTTGGGGTGCTGGCCACTCCTTCCAGCTTTGTGTCATCAGAAAATTTGCTGAGAAGGCATTTACCCCTTCATTCAAGTCACTGATGGAAAAGTTAAACAGTACTGGGGCCAGTATTGAAAACTGGGGGACACCACTAGTGACAGGCCTGCAACTAGACCCTGTGTCACTGATAACAATTCTCTGGGATCTGCTGATCAGCCAATTCTTAATCCACCTCACTGTCCACTCACCCAGTCCACACTTCCTGAATTTGCCTATGAGGACATTGTGAGAGACTGTGCAAAAAACCTTGCTGATGTTATGGTAGGCATTTGCTCAGACTTCATCAGCTAAAATTTTCAAAGCAACTGGTAATCAGATTCAGTAATTTTGATGACCCTTACCCATCTTCTCCCCAGGGCCTGATTTGTGTTTCCTTACTGCATCTACCTCTGTTTGGTATACTAGATTATTATCTCATGGCAACTCATTAAAAGATGATTTTAGTCAACAGAATCAGCAATGTGAAACTCAGCACAGGCACTCTTTGAGAAATTACAAGAATTTAAAGTAAAACATCTCCTTTAAGCTGGCAGGTTCCAGAAAATTCCTAAGATCTTGTATTTCACATCCCTTTCTCAGATCTTTTTCCACTCTTCCCCTTTTTCCCACATATAGAGAGTTCATGGCGATACACTGTATGTTCTCACCAGACTCTGCTAAGCCTCTGTGAGAAACCTGGAAAAAAGGAATAATCGATACAAAGCAATTATTTGCTACCTTACAATAGAGATGACAATGTGATAATTATGTAAGTCCCATATGAAGATCAGTTTCATTGTTAGGAAAATCAGCCTTGCCAAAGATGCACAGATTCAGCAAAGCATCCGACATCCCAGGAGAGAGAGAACTGATAGACATTTGCCTGTTATTAACAGTGAAGTAAACAGCCACTCTTACTCTCAAAACCTTGTCTGATAAAACAAAGACATGACTACAGAAGATCAATGCAACTTTTGAAGAAAACCATCTTCATATTACTACTCATTGTACAGCATTCAGATCAAAGCAAAGGTTTTCTTTGATTACACTTTTAGCATTACAATCAACTTCCCTAACATAAGAATGAACTGGGTGTTTTTCCAGTTTTGTAGGAAGTATTCTCCACACTGAAATAAACCTCTACAGTTCATTGAAAATACTACCTCTGAAAAGTAACCTCCAATTCTTTCATAAACTACAGGTTAGTATATGTTGTTAGACAAGTAGAATGCAAGTGCTCTGCTAATTAGTTACTCTTACACTACTCATTTGCTTTTCCTCCAAGGCCAGGATATCCTACTTCAGAGAATGCCAGATGGTTTGACAAATCCTTTCTAGCATCTAAACTTCCTTGTAAATATTGTGAGAAAGATCCAAACAAAATTATCACTTAAATCCAAAAAAATTCGTGAAGTGCACTAATTGATCTTCATATAAAAATGAATTCTACATTGCATAGAAATTTTAAAATATACACTGTTAAAACAACATATGCTTAGTAACAGCTTATCATGCAGCTTTACCTCTCCAAAAGCAGGCCTTGGCTGTTGCAAATATAAAACAAAGCACTGTGTGCCGGTGACCCAATAAAACAGAGAGGCTAAATTCAATCTTTGCATGACATAACTTCCTTGGACTTAATTAGGATTTGTGGCTTTTTATATCAAGGGCAATTTCAGTCTGGTTTATTTTAAGTTCCCCCAAAAAAGATACTGTTAAATTAATAGAAAAAGAAGTCTATGAAAACAGGTAAGAAGCATAGAGAACAAATACTACAAAGAAGGATAAATTTCTTAAAAGGAGAAAAACATTTAGGCATACTACTTAGTAAACTCAAACCATGTTCCACTGCATATATATTACATGTTTTGCATATGAGGTGCCCTCAATAAACAGTTGATATGATGGAAGAAGAAGGAAATTTTTCCAACCAAAGTATACGAGAAACTGTATACCCAAACCAGGTATAAAATGGAAAAAATATATTATTACAGGTGGGTTAAAGATGATTCAGAATTCAGTTTAAACCAACCCTATGAAAAATAGAAAACATATTAGTCTATTGAGGTTAATCAACAGCAAAAATAAACCATGACTATTTAACATGGTTTTAAGCATACTTGTACTTGTTTCCACTCCCAGCAAGTCATTTTGATCACTTCTACAGTGAAAACCTGCTCAGAGATTTTAATTCAACTCACTCTTTATGGTTTTATATATGGTTTAGTGCTTCAGCTACGAGAAATATCCTACCAGGGCTGAATCTACTGTAGTTCCATAAAAATCAGCAAGAGCAGCAGTGTGGCCACAGAGCCTCAAATGAGGAGAGGCTGCATAAGTCAGTGAAGTGGTATTTGGAGTATATTAAATAAATTTATAATAAAGGAGACTGGCTCCTTCTTAAAAGAATACAATAATGAAGGAAATGCAATGAGGTGACTGTGGTACCCAGACCTTTTGAGATTGAGAACTAGGTCAATGTGGAAACTCCTACTATGTATTCTGTGGTGCTGATAAACCTTGATTTCTCAGAAGTTTTGCCACTTAATTAGACAATTAGTATTCAGCCCTTATAAAATGGCAAAGACATACAGCTGGAGACATAGCCAAGCATGAGTCAATGCAGGCAAAGCCAAGATTTCTGCCATAGCATTGCTCCGAAAATATTATCACCATATGACCTATATTTTTTCCTCTTGTTATTTTGCTCTAGGCATTCTAAAGGATGAAACTGTCAGTTTTCTTTTCAGCTGAAATTTCTGATAATGTTGCTAAGAGTTTAATTTGCATGTTACATCATATGAAACAGATTAAGTAAAAAACAAACAAACAAAAAAGCAGACCCTGCTGTTCCTTCACACCTTAGCAGGTAAACAAAATAACAGTTCTGGGGGAAAAAAGGCATCAGATTAGATCATTAAATCACATGTAGCAAAGTAACCTAAATACAATTATTCTGTGAAGTGAGAAATGGAATAGAGCTGAAAGATACTGTCTTCAGAAGACAGCAAATCAGACTAGACTTTGTACTGTGACAGAGCTATCAAAAATTGCATTAACTTTCTAGAAATATACACGTGTTTAATTTAAAGTAAATGAAGGCAGTAAATTGGGACTTTTTATAAGCCACCTATTAAATGGGTATCACTACATAAATGCAGTAAGAATAAACATCAAAGAATAAGAGACAAAAGAAGAAATAAGAGGAAATATCTTGTTCACAAGAAAATCTAAAAAATATAAGAAAAAACACATAAAAATTGAATCATGAAAACAGAAAAACAAATATATAAAGAAGAGACCAATGAAGGAAGATGGCTGGTCCATGGGGACCAAACCAAAGGGTTTTGAACCATATACAGCTATGAACTACTTTTTTTTTTTTTTTTTTTTAGTACTCAGGGAAAGTGAGAGTAAAATGTTAGAAATGGAGTTGTTTCCTGAAGGGAGAAACCGAAGAATTAAGACAAACTAACAGTGATGTTTGGGCTGGTAGAGGAGAAATTAGAGTAAAAATAGTAGTGGCTTCAGGACTAGGCAGGCTGAGTTTCCAGATTTTGCTAGGCACAGCATAATGGGAGGAATGCAAAAAAGAAGATAAAGA